AAAAAAAAAAACAGTTGCCAAAGACATTATTGTGAGACAGATTGCAGACAATGGATATCAGATCACTTTGTTTCAAAAAGCATACATTATGAATATGTTAATGTGATTATAGTCCAACCATAGTTATAACAAATTAATAGGCATTATCAAGAAATTGACCATCTTTCCTTTTTTTTTTATAAAACTAAGCTAATATAAAAACAAATACAGTTGCCAAAGACATTATTGTGAGATAGATTGCAGACAATGGATATCAGATCATTTTGTTTCAAAAAGCATACAATATAAAGAACATAAAGCCTAAAAATAATCTAAATCATAAGAAACATGATCCAAGCTATTGTTAGACAAAGTAAAAGAACAAAAGTTATCTTTAAAAGAACCGTCTGTTTTATAGAGAAACACTATAGCAATAAATGCTTTGACATATTTAGTAATGAATATGACAGGACTCCTTATCAGCTGTAGCTGTAGGCCATTGATAGGTGAAGCAATAGGACCAAATAAAGAAAGAAAAATATAAAATATAAATAGGAAAGAGAAGAGAAGGATGCAAAATAGTGCACAATGAGGACACTTGCACAAGCGGAGACTTCAAGCACTACATCATTTTCTCTAACTATCGCTAGATGTTACCTTCAAGCCAACAAAAGAATAGAAGACTGACAGTTGTTGGCAACTTGTGTGCCTTTACAATTTGAACTAAGAACCTCAAGAACTTGGTCAAAATTAACAGTAGTCCCCCAGCTAAAATTAAGTTCATGAACCAACCGTCACTAGACCATTTAATCAGAATATCTGGAACATCCCAGTCATCTTTTCAATGTTTATTTCTTTCCAAACTTCTGTCTACTTTTCCACAGCATGGGCTTTCTTTGGCAGAAGTATGAAATTGATACATCAAGTACTTGTTAGTGTGTCCAAAATGTTGGAATCATGCAGAAAATGGACTACATAGACATATATAACACATTATATTTAAGATATTGATAAAAGGGGAAATTCATAATGAAACTCATCAAATCTTGGTACCTTATTTAGATAGTTCATTTGTGTAACCACACAAATAAGTACCACAATGGTGAAAGCCCAAGTTTGTGGGTATACCAATTGATTCATTCCTGAAAATGTTAATTTTAGAGCAATCCCAAGAGCTTTGACACTCATGACCTGTCCAATTGGAGATTTAATAAAAGTGAACATCATAAAAGCTCAAGAAAAACATGAAACTAATTATGTAGGGACAAGTCATTACCGATAAAGAACCAACTAGGGAACAGACACCAACATAAAACATTATATTTGTCTGCCCATACCGAGGGATATAACAAAAAATGAGCACCAAAATAACTGCACCCACGATAGTCGCATAGCAGAGGAAGGCTGCAAAGAACATGCAAATGAGCCTCAGTAATACTTCAAACATTTATTAGACTTCAAATTGAAACCAAAGTGACGAGTATCATAAAGAACTGCCAGGTAAAAGCAAAAGCAACTCAAGGCAGATAGCTATCCCTCACAATAATATACAAAGACCTGGTTCGGTAGCAAGATTCCACACTTCCTTCACGGATTCGATTTCCCTCTCCTGTGGAGCATGGAGAACAATTGTCGTTGATCCCACAACACAAAGAACACAGCCAACAATACCCAAAATATTCAGCCTTTCCCGTAGTATAATATGTGCTAATGCCGCACTGAAAAATAAAAATGGTCATTGCAATAAAATGTGAATATTTTTCATAAATAAATGACATGGAACTCACAGTAACACCTGATTATTATGCTAAGTGCACCAAGAGGAGTCACAAGAATGGCCGGAGCAAATGCGTAAGCAGCAAAATTGGCAGCTTCACCGACAATCACTAATCATCAGCTCAAAATATGTTAGAATTCACTGGTGGTTGGATACCAATGCAATAAGTAGACAAGTAATTCATGCAGCAATAAATATGTCTGCGCAACATACTAGGATATGATCAACTAATGGCTAAGAAATACGAGTTGTCAAATCATCGAACAAACGTTGCAAAACACTTGTCAAAAACGCCGTTGACTTCCCATACTCTTTCCACATGATCCACAAGGAGATATTTCATTCGCAATTGCATCTTAGTGATGCTACCTAAGGTTTGTCTAGTACAAGCAGTATTCCATTTGTTGTAAATGAGCACATCTGGAGAAAGAATGTATACCACCAAAAGCATTTCTTTTGAACCTTTGCCATCTTAATAAGATAGTTAACAGAGTTCAAACATTAATTAAAATCTCAAGCAATAAATTGAAGTGCATCAGGATACAAATGATTGAATGTTAGTATATGACCAAAAGCAAGCTGCTCTTAGGGTCAATGAAATGTTAAACGATGATGGCCACGAAGGTCTGCATGGTCCATTTCAGCAAGCTTAGTGTGAGACCATTTACCAACCCTTGGTACATGCTTGGGCTCAGGTCCAGCACAAAGCAGCTAGGCGGTAATCAATAATGCACAGCACAAGATCTCTTGATGACAACGACACAAATAGCTCGTGGACTAATAAAGATAGTAGATACCATGCTAATGGAATGAAAAAGCAATCTTACTTGTGATCATGCCAATCCACCAAAGTGGCTCGTATAAGTAAGAATAACCTCCGACCCCTGTAATCAGATGAAACCAATTAAGATCTCGGATGAAATCAAGTACCCACATAATGTACGGTATTTAGACATCAAGCTGCATTGGTGACTAGCATTATTCTACTAGTAAACTATTGCGGGTGATGTTGTTTCATCGATCGGGATGATTTGGTCGGGTTTTCTGTTTTTTCCATCCAACTTCGATAAAGGAGGAATTTTTTCGTCAATGGTGACAAAAAATTTACCAAAAGAAGTACAAAAAGAGGGTCTCATCAGCAGATCAGCAAGAGTATCAAGAAAGTGATGCCAACACAGAGAAAGGGACAGAAACCTAATCAAGAAGCGAAGTTCTCCTCACCAGCCCTAATCCCGGAGGCCGCAGCCTTCTTTAGGCCCTTCTTCTTGATGATGAAGCTGGCGCCGATGAAGGCGCTCGAGGAGAGGGCAAGCACCAGGCCCTTGATATTGTCGGCGGACATGCCCCTGTAAGCCGACGCCACCCAGCTCCCTCGGGGAGCCAATTCTGGCTGTGCCATCCTTCCGGCTCTCCTCCGCCCCTCTCGCCGCCGCGGCAACCGCTCATCCGCCGCCGCTCCTCTCGTATCCAACCCTAAAACCTCGCGACCCGGCGGTTCCCAGCGCTCGGCGGCAGCGAAGCGCGCGAGATCGATGGAAGGTGACGGATTCTGCGTCGATCAAACGGCGAATCCGAAGAGCGATCGACGGGAGAAGATGGAGTCGTAGGTTTTGGATGGTGGGGTTTCGAGGAGGAGGAAGCGCGTCGTCGTCGTCGTCGTTATCGTTAGGAACGCGCGATGAAATCTCAACAGCCACAGACAGATACCGTTACTCCCCGGTGCCGTCACCTCACTTCCCCCGTCCCCTTCCCCTTCCTCCCTGGCTATCTGCGCGAATCTCAAAGCATAACGTAAACATTTCTTTTGTTTTATATTTAAATATGAAATGAGTGAATATTTTTCCTTTTTATTTTCTGATTTTTTTTACACAAGAAAAATTCCATTACTCATGGATTGTATTTACATGATGTTTAATTTCTAAATATTTTTGAATAAAAATAAAATAATTTTTCATTTCAACCTTGATTTAATTTTGTAAACATCTTTTTTGGTTTCAACTCAACTCAAAATTAAGCCAATATGTGAAGGAATTCCGAATAGGGTTCATTTGGAAGAGGGGGTGACGACACTCGCGTACGTGCATGGGAGGTCTGCGATTGCCACGTGGATTATGTGATTCCTTACCAATTAATTCTCTTCTCCTTATTTGATATTTTAATATTAAAATATATATTACTATTTTTATTACACCGATATATATATATATATATATATATATATATATGGAGACTGATTTGATTTGTACATTACTACACAACAAATAAAGTGAAGGGAGAACAGAGAGGTCGACCGTATGTCCTGTTCTTCGTCTTCCACAAACAACACAAGTTTCGATCTTGTTTCTCTTACCAATCAACTTCAAAATTCTTGTCATGGATGGAAATCTACCCCACAATTAAAACCATAATTTTCAGCCTCTCATAAACTAGATTTAAAAACATATGAGATCAAAGCACAAGTCGAAACCACTGTACATGCCATGCTGCATTCTCTTCTTCCAGTGATCAGCAAAACAAAATACTTGGCATCCCTAAATTTCCTTGGAGCTGCTTTTATTTGTGAGGAAGAAAGCGTAGCAGCCGTTCATCTTCCTGCAACATCAAACCATTATGTTACAATCATGGAATCTTCTTCATTATGTAGTTGCAGATGAGAAAGAAGAAGTTTCACCTGCTACCGCTTCTACTTGTGCTGCTTCCGCTGCTACTTTTGGAGCAGCTACTGCTGCTGCTTTTGGAGCTGCTACTGCTGCTGCTGCTGCTTCCTCTGCCACCCAACTCCTTCTCCCACCACTCTCCCTCCGTGACCTCAAGCCCACCCTTCTCTGCTTCCGCCAAGACGGGCCTCGGTGAAACCTTTGAGCAAGTATTAGAACCCCCAAAGCTCTTCCTTCTCCCTCCTCTTATGGAAATCGGCACGAACATCTTAAGGAACACCCCGGTCTCGATGCTCTCCTTCCTCAACAGCCTTCTCTTCTCTTTACTTCGATCCTTCGATTCTGTCCTCCTCTTCTCTATCATCTCCTGCACCGTCTTCGCCACCCTCGGCGCCTCCACCATGTCCCTTAGCGAGAGCTCGTACGCGGGCTCCGGCATGTCCCTCACCAAGTCCAACATCTCCTGCCGGTACCTGGCGATCTCCTCAGCTCGTGACGTCGGAAACGCCTGCATACCGTGGTGGTGCTTGTGCGCCGGGGAATTGTCGGCAGACCGAGTCGCCGGGAGGCCCACGTTCTTCCACAACGGCGGCGAGGGAGTGCCGGAGTCATCGCCATCCTCCTTGGGCAGCCATCGGAAATCTTCGTCGCCGTCGCGCTGGCTGTAACCGGAGAGGTTCAAGGAAGCTCTCCGAGTCCATGGGCCGAGCTCGGCTTTGGTTCCTGCTGCAACCGTGGCACGCTCCATCGTCTGTCCGTCGCTTGCGCCGTGGGTTGGATTCGCAAAACTGAACTGGTCTCCGGTGGAGAACTCTCGTCGTTGTCGGTGAGCTATCATGGCAAGAGACGCGGAGAGAGAGAGAGAGATGAGGATGAGGATGGTGTAAATGGTGAGGAGGGAGGGAGGGCATGTGCTTGTGTCTTGAGCAAGACAAGGTCAGGTTTTAATGCAGGAGTCATTTGGGGTCCTTTTCCCGTCACCTTTCCTTTCTAAGCTTTTTGTGTGTGTGTGTGTGGTGGGAGAGGTGGATGCAAAGTCATGGGCTTCTAGATGTGCTATTGATGCGCTTGTCCTATTGCAAGGGAGACCGACTAAGAGCCTTCTACCTTCATCTAGAACACTTGTTTTCTTTGCCATGCACATGTGGTATTGATGGTGAAATGTCATGAGGGGATGGCCACCTAAATCTCCCCCATTTGATGGAAGGCGAGTCTTTCTTATGGTGAATAATTGGCTTCTCTTAATTTTTATTTCGAAATTACCATCTCAATCTTATTTGTATATTTTCTAATTCCAAATGACGTCAGCAAAAGGATGCCGTGGTCCTATTAGGCTTCCCGGCCCTGACTTGGAAGACACGGTGATCAAATCAGCATTGAATGACTTCCTAATCTCAGAGTTATGAGGGAGGAGGAAAGATTGTTTGGTACTCAAGAAAAAGCATCCGGACATCTTTTCTCACTCCCCACAAAAGACGTAAATCGTGACGATGACAAGGGTAGTTTTGGTCAAACACATGTTGAAGTATACAGCACCGCAGATTGGACCCCACCCCGGTTTGCACGGCACGTTACTTGGGTCCAAAGCAAAGCCCTGAGCTCAGACCAAAAAAATCTGCTTTCCACATCTATCTATTCATGCAATGCATTTACCAGCCTTTATCGTTCACAGGAATTATTCATTCTATATTTTTAAAAAATAAAAAATATTATATCAATA